TTTCCTACTGGATCGCTTACGAGAGCCAATCAGGATTTAGCTTTAAGTCACCTGATCTAAAACTCTGAAACCTTATTGGTTCTCGTAAGCAATCCAGCAAGAAAGATAGTATCGTGTGCCGTTGGCTTAAAACTCTGCGTCCTTATTGGTTCTCGTAAGCAATGCGGTAGGAAAACTAGTATCGCGTGCCGTTGGCTTTACATCTTGTACTTTTAGGAGACTCGTTCCACGAAGAATAAACTCATTAATTTAATCTTAACAGTTGTGTCAAAGTTGTGCCAATGTGGGATCGTGTCGTGATCTCGGATAATAATCTCGAATACTTGGGGCACTTGTACCCGGTGGCATTTCACAGAAGAGGGATGACACATCATCTTAAGAAACGTACGTGCCTCGGTCGCGGCGTAACGCTACTGCATGTACCGTCTTATTACGAGCAATCAGATGTACGGGTAACTCGCACACGTCAAGCTGATTGGCAACGTGGTCGTCCCCTAAAAGCGCATCACAGAGCCGACAGCCTGGCTGCTGCTGAACACAAGGAATTGCCGGACGTGGTCTAAAACCCCCCCATAATGCGTCGCGACTGACCCAGTTTCGTGATCGCTGCAGCACCACCTTCGTGTCTTTTTGTCTGCGCACGCGGACGTTCCGAAGGACAGAATACGGTTGCAAATCCAACCGGCGAACTGGCAGTGCCGTTTTCTAATCCGATTAGTTGGAGCCCCCGCAGACCCCTCTATTTCAATGACGGATCGGTCTGACGTGGGGATCTTTGGAGAGTAGACGCTAAAGCTAAAGAAGAACGGAAGAGTTAGAAGAAAGGTGTCTCGTCCAATCGTCTAAAATGCAAGTTTTGCGAAGAGACCCTTTCTCCCCCGTCGTTCGTAACGGTCGATACTCCGGAATTTTCAGACTCGGGAATTTTGAGACCTCTCGTACAATTGCTTCGCGGGCGAGATATATTCGCGATAAACCGCGACAGCCTTGGTTTACATGGGGAATAGGACACGCAATCTCGCGACCGGCAATCCTTTAGCTGTACCAGTAGTTGCGCCTCGGTCAATTAATCAATTCGCTATCTAACAACATGACTCAACTGCGAACCCAATTCGACGGAAACGTATTTTTATCTACGACGGAGAAATATACGCGCTCGGGTCTCTCTTCGGGATTGGCTAGCCGTGGCCTCGAGACATTGTTCAAGGCTCGCTGGCGAAGGTCCACGGTGAAATTGTGACGTAATCCCAGAGAGTCCAGAATATGTGTACATAGAGAGCGGCTAAATGTCGGCGTATGCCGGACAGCCGGATCGTAGCGCGAGTCAATGGAATCCTCGCGTGTAGTAGGTACGACGAACTGCGCGTTGATATCGCGCAATCTCTCGATAAGAGAGAGCGACGCTGCATATGCAACCGGTTATATTGTTAATCGTTCCATAAGCTATGCGTCTCAATGCCGCGCCTCGGTAGCAGCAGAAAAGTTGCACGTGAATTTTAATTCCGCTGAATGAATTCCTAATGTGCCTCACCAGTGTTGTCTTTATCTTTCTTTGTCGTTATAGAACGTAGATTTTTATTTTTTATTTTATTTTATATTTTTTACTGTAAAAATTATTAACAAAGAACTTATTATTTTTACGCGAGAAAAAGGCTGCTTTCTCATTCCTATTACCTTATTGCCCTTCTAATCACCCATAGTGCGCAATCGTACTGTTTTAGATGCCCCACCCTGTATACGATAAACCTAGAGTCCGATTAGATTTCCACGCGTAACGACCTAATCCGCGGATTGATCTCTCCGAGATTCGGCAAAACGAGAAATGACGATACGTTTGTTAAACCGAAGAGTCAGCGACGTTCATAGCGTATGACATCACGACATTAGGCAGAATGAAATAACTCGTCGCCGAGTTACGCGCGGTGGATACATCGCTCGCCCCACGAGCGACACGTTTTTAGAGAATAAACGACCGTTTCAGCGGAGAAGTATTCACTAATTAGAGTAAGAGCCTTGACTCACAGCACAGCGACGAAAACATACGTATATAGACACGAAAGTATTACGAATTTCTTTCTCTATCGATTCGTTTCTATTCCAACGGTGAAAAATATATTCCTCGTTGTTAAAGATCTACAACAACTTGTTCAGGCACGCGTGATACAAAATCGCAACCTCGAGGGCAACTAAAAATTTTCCGACATCGTGAATATGCACGAATGTGATCGTACTGAAAGATGTAGGCTGAAGACAGCGACGTGGAAAATATTTATTTTCAATATCCGAGAAGGCGTACCCGCTGCGAAAGACATTTGAGCAGTAAACGCACACCCTCGGAAAGGATCTCTGTTAGCGAGACAAAAATATTCTTGACGCATTCACATTTCTCACAATCCCATTTAGTAGAAAAATAAGACAATATCAAAATAAAATTAATAATTCTTATTCCCCTCTATCGAATTAAAAAAGATTGCCCTACTACATTGAGACAAGAGTAGCTTATATAAATGTAAGTTTATATATTCTTGCGTTTAGAAGAAACTTTCCCTCCGTCTTACAACGCACGAAGTTGGCACCACGATATTCGACAAGAGACGATACATATTGCTATTTTATTCCAGATTTTAGAATTTTTCATTTAAGATAAAAATTTCCTTTCTCAATAATAAATATGATTGGCGCTATATCGATCCTATTTTATGAGAATAGCATTGGATCCGGAAATTTGTTCTGTGGGTTCAGATATGCAAAGATAAGACGGAGTTATAGAAGATTTAATTGTGAAATTTTCATATTTCCCCACGAAAATGGTGAATTAAGGTAAATCTATCGGAGCCAGTCTAAGAAACTAGCAAAGATATAAAAGCGAGGCCATTTTCTGACTCGCAGTTTATTCCGAACTATGTCACAACCGGTTTCTCTCGTACCGTCTTCAGGAAAGAAGCTTACCTTGTCCAAATTCTACCAAGTTGCTCTCGGCTCTCTTTAGAGCGAAACAAAGTACCTGGGCCTACTACTCTCGCGCTCAAACTGTCGAGACACGTAGTGCTTTCGTGTCTCGTTATTTTCGTACTTAAGGCCGTAATAACAAACTCGCGCGGCCCGGAAGAGGCTGCAGTTAACGAAGTAGTCTGACATTCTCTATACCCGGCGACCTTTCCGCTTCCCGTGGAATCGCGCGCGCCCACTCGAACGTGGGACTTTTTTCCTTTACCCCGGAGAGGAATGTTCAGGATCCGCGGTACCGTGAACACACGGGCACGTGCGTCCCCTACCTAGTAGCGCGCCGCTACCTTCGCAGCAGCCTACGTCCTGGAGTAACCGTGACCTTTGAGCCGCGACAATCGCCCGGCCGCTTCGTCTTAATGATCGCTTTGCATGCTAACGCGGTCGACGTAACGATCCGCGACAAAGGCGGTCGTACCGTTGACGCCTTCTCGGATGTACCGCAGCTCCGTAGGAACCGCGTGTGCTCCGCGAATGGGTCGCCCCGTCCGGTTCAAGTTACGAGACACTCGGCAAAATATCATTTCGAGTCACAGATTCATTAGCGTTAGCTTGTTTATCGCGACGCGCCTGGGTGGCCAGCGGATATATCCGCGTTTCTGGCAAAAAGTAAAAAGTTACAGGCAGAAAAGGAGAAATGAAAATTCGTTCGTGCAAGAGAGTCCCTCTCTTTTTGTCAAAGGGACTCAACGTGGCGCGTGAGAGAAGAGAGTGTCAAATGGGAGAGTGCAGCTGTACCGAACCCTCCTCTCGCACTTTACCCACGCAATCGAAACCGCGAGCTGACATGCGGCGAAACGGCTGAATGCGAGCCCGTATATGCTATTAGATGCCATGTATATACGAAGCCTATTATTTGCGATAATGCTACTCACTTTCCTCGTCCCGTGGCCAAAAATACGCATGTTCGTGACCAACCAGTGCGCACACCATGCGGTGTAACTCGGAGTGTTACGTGACACAGCGAATTTTTTAAACGCGATTACACGGGTATCCTCGTACATAATTCTGCGACTTTGATCAGCACGATGTCGCGATGTGTACGGAGAGAAACATTTTTATCTTATAGCGATAAGACATGGTCGATTTCGCGGCTAAATCTCTCGAATGCTTTTAACACACGCGTCAGAATATTGTCTTACGCAGCGAAGTTGCTGGATAAGTAGCCGGCATCGGCGGCAAATCTCCTGACATAAAACTGAAGCACCGAGAATGATGTAAACTCGAGCAACTTTCCTACTTTTACCCGGCAGATTTGGAAAGTGCCTTTCATCAGGAGTGAATAGGACATTTTAAGAATTACTTTTACATTGCCTTCCTCCGTTCATCGTACTTAGGACAAAACAAACTTGGACAGAACTCGAGATAAGGTAAAACATGTAATGGAGAACTCGAAGGAACAAATCAACTAACGATTACTTTGCGTTTAATTCTCCAATTTTCTTTCTCCACTGATGTGGTGGACTCATTAATATCATCGTCTCCTTTATGTCTCTCGGTAAAAGCTTACGCTCGATTGTTTGGATGTAACATTTTAATATCAAAAATAGTAAAGTATCTAGTTTGTATAAATATGCGCTTTAGTTGGCGCAATTTGACGATATCGTTACTTTTGTAGAGACAGAACATTTTTTTAATTTATCCAAATAATTAAATTGTATAATTGTTGATTGGATGGTTAATTTTACATTGGCTTTTCCCGTTCATCGCACTTAGGATAAAACAAACTCGGACAGAACTTGAGACAAAACAAATACACTCGGTCGAAAAAGAAATGTAATGGAGAACTCGAAGGAAGCAATCAATTAACGATTGCTTTGCGCTTAATTCTCAAATTTCCTTCCTCCGCTTACGCGGTGGATAAAACTGACGGAAGAGGCACGCGAATCAAATCGAATTCGTTCAAAGTACACAGTTTAATATCGACCTCCGGGGGTATCAGATTCACATCGCTCTCGGCGCTTCCGTCAACAGAGAAGCTCGTCCGGTCTTACCTGCTTCCCGGCGCGCGGCAGCGTCTCCACATTGGTGCCGCCGACCACGGGGGCCTTTTCCGGGCCGCCGTTCTGCTGGCTGACGTTTATGTTGGCGTTAACGTTGGCGTTAACGTTATTGGCGTTGTCGGTGACGTTCGTGTTCATGTTCGCCCCGGTCGTAACGTCGCCGGTGCCGCCACCGCGCTTCCCGTCCTCGCCCGTCATCCTGTCGATTCGCCCTCTCGTTGTCTCACACCCTCTTCACCCTCGCCCAGCGTCGCGTCGCCGCCGCCACTGCCGCCGCCACCGCCGCCGCCACCGTCCCCGTTCCGCTCGCACTTCCGCTCGTTAATTCCCAACCTCGGTCCACGGCTCGGAATCCCGATATCTGTGCGGCCGATCGAGAACCGATCAGAGAAGGCTCGAGGCGCGGCCGTGACGAATGACGCCTAGCCGGCAGCGCGTAATTTACTTCAGCCCCTCAACGTAGGGGTTTCCGTTCTCTCTCCCCCTCCCCCTCCCCCCGAGAGACGCGGGATCCAGCTATTAATAGACGAAACTTGGCTTTTATTAGCGGGAACGGAACACGCGGGTAGCTCGGGTTCGCGACGTTTCGCGTTAAAACGGATCGCGCTGGAGGCCCGGCTTTAAACCCCGTTTAAAGTGGATCTGAAATTACCGGACGCCTCCGGCCCCGTGAAAAATTAATTCCCGTGGGCGATAAGATAAACTGCCGCGCGCGCAACGGTGCGCCACGGACCTCCATCGGGCCGAATTACTCCGGTTGTTCCTCGAGGAGCGCTATTTTTAGCCTCCACCAAACGACACGAGCGGTATAACCGTACATGACGAAACGGTTCACAAGCACATTGTGAGCACCATCCTCCCATTCGCTACTCGCCAAGGAGGAGGACCGGGGGGCGAGCGAGCCTCGCCCCAAGTGCAATCTTACCGCCAACGTCACCGAACAACACGAGGACCCGAAGTAACGTTCTCGAACGTGCGGGGCGTCGTGTTTGCGGGCCGCCTTGGGTCCACGGCGGCTAGAAATCGCTCCGAGATCTCCCGAGCCGAGAAATACAGCCGCGGGTGGATCGGCCCGCGCGCGTACTTCTCGGGGCGATTTCAGCGTGCGCCACCCGGGGCTTACGATCGTTACGTCGCGTCGTCGTGGACGCAAAAGGCTTAGGCCCGGTCTACAATGAGTCGTTAGTCGTTAGTCAGAAGTCGCAACTATATGTTGATCCTTTTCCTTTCTGGGTGGCAGAAAAAGGACCGACATATAGTTCCGACTTCTGACTAACGACTAACAACTCATTGTAGACCGGGCCTTAAAAGAGCCGAGGATCGGGCGGCCCGAGCTTCTTGGGGCGGGAACGCGGGATACCTCAGGGCGGGCTCGCGGGCTCTCGGAGGACCGAGGGACGTCATAGCGACGCGGGACGTCGTCGCGGGGTAGCCGGTGCGCGACGCCGCTCAACGAGCACGGTGTGTCGCGTAGTGCCTCGCGCGGTAAGCCCGCACACGGTGGGCACCGCCGGGAAAATCGATTCGAGCGTGTCCGTTCGAGCACTGCGCGGCCTCGGCGAGCCGCGCGGCGATAAGAGCGCGGCCGTGTCCGCGGTCGTTCCGCGCCGCCGCGACGACGAGCCCCCGCGGGGCGCAGACCTGCCGAAATTCGAAATAGCGCACGATTTTTTTCTCTCTCTCTCTCCCTCTTTCTTTTCTGCCCACAACCCCCCCCCCCCGCGCGCTCGCGGTTCGCTCGCCGAACGCTCGCCCCGCATATGCCTCGCTACGCGATCGGATCGTTTTCATATTCGCCTGTTCTCCGCGCTCAAATAACAGTTTAAGAACCGGAAAATCCGAAGAGAGAAAGAGAGAGAGAGAGAGAGAGAGGGGGGGGTGTGGAAAAGGAGGGTTCGTTGTAATTCGAGAATATTACGCGTATAATTAACTACATTAATCAATATTTTAGTTAATATACTGTAGAGTATAAAAATATTAAGAGACACGCGAGAGGGAATCGACGTATACGTGAGTTCAACGGAGTAGACTTTAACGGAGCACCTCGCGCGATCCGCGCTGATTAATCGGTTTCGCGGTGACGAAAATTTTCACTCGGGATTCCTGACCGCGGGGGGGGGGGGGACGGGGGAGGAGTCGAAGTGACCGAGGAGAGGCGACCGTTCGCGTAATAATAATTGCAGGTGGGCAACGCCGACGGAGAACTGACGCCCGCCGCGGTGAAACACGCCCCGCGGCACCGACACCGCGGCGCGGATTCTTTTTAACGGCAAAAAACATTTATGGACGCCCCGGGGTCGCGTCGGCGATCGGATCGAACCGGATTGCGCGGGGCGCGATTGGTCCGTCGGTGGGAAACAGGAAAACCTGGAGAACGCGCGAAACGACGGTACATCCCGCAATTACCGGATTCCACTGGCATTTGTACGCGCGCGCGCGCGCACACGCAACGTACACGCATAAGTCGCACGTATATACACGCGCGCGCCCGCGCGTCTATTTTTTATGTACGTCCGTAAACGCATATATATTTAGGTACGTGTGTACGTGTGCGATGCGTATATTAGCGCCGACGGCGTCGCGGGGTTCTCCGTCTGGTTCCTGGACGCGGTGCATTTCGCGCGCGCGATCGATCGATCTCTGGAGCCCTTTTTCCCGCACTTCGGCCGAGTTTGCCGCGGTTCGATGACGCGCGGCGCCTCGAATCCGCACGATTATCGAGCGATTACGTTCGAACGCTACCCTAACGCGGGCGCGAGCGGTCGTAAAAAGGGAGCAGTGGACAGAGAGAGAGAGAGAGAGAGAGAGACAGAGAGAGAGAGAGAGAGTGAGAGAGATAGAAAGAGCACTAACCGGAGGGGCTCACACACGCAGGGTTGCGCGCGCGACGGGTACCTTAGAGTCCCACTGGTCCGTCGACCACCGCGGTATTTCAACGGGACACTCTTCAGGCGCTACCTTCTCCACTTGTCAAATCACACGCCGCGCCGTCATCTTTCGCTCGCGCGCCGCTTCCCCGTTTCTCGCTTACTCGTTTTCACATCGACCGGCCGCCGCGGACCGCGCGCGCACACGTATACGCGACACCGACTCCCGACAGATACGCGCGACGAGGAAAGCACCGAGCGTAACGCGACCGCCCTCCCGGATACTCCGCACGGCTTTGATCGCCGCCGCTGTCAGCCGATGACGACGCCGCGCCCGCCGCGCCACCTGCCGGCAGCGCCGTTCCCCATTTGCGTCTTTTTAAATACCGAACACCGAAAGCCTCGCGCGGAGGCTCTTATTGAACGACGTAGGGAGCGAGCGAGACAAGAATACTATAGTTTTCATTATCTCCTCTCGAGATAAAAGATACGTGCACGACATTTAAAAAAAAAAAGTTTGTACCGTACACGTTTTAAACTTGTATCGAATTTACAATGCAAATTTCAGTTTTATGTAGGAGAGTAGACACGTTGGTTTGCAAACCGAGCAAATACATAATGCAACAATGTTTCGTGACCAACTCAACAAATGTATAGTTTTTACAATATTTCAATAAGATAACAAAAATATCGTAGGTGCACGATAGATGTTCTGAATTATTCCTAACACTGAGAGATCGAAATGAACGTGGAACAGCCGAGTTTAGTTTTTCACGAACCGTGTTTTATTTAGGAACAAACACTGCAGCGGTATGTTCAAATATGCAAACAATTTTATTTTATCGTTGAGTTCGTAATACAATTTTTTTTCATTTTACTTTAATGCAATAAAATCACCATCAAACTACCAAGTATAAAACCGATATTATCTAATAAAATAATATTTTACCATATTTCAACGACAATTAGTTTGCAAAAACTGAACAAAAGAATGATATTTAATAAGTAATGTCATAAAATTAGAACTCGCTAACATGATAGTGTTCGTTTGATCATTCAAGATAAACGACTCAATTGTAGATCTTAAAAGAATGTCTTATATATCCATTAGAGCATCTTTCAGCATACAAAGAGTACATTCCTTTGATTATCAAGATATTTGTACCAAGTAACATTAAAAATAAATGATGTACTGTAAATGACGTGTTTTCAAAATTATTCTGCACTGGGGTGGCGCTTAAGACATTTTTTATTTCTAATTTAATAATAAAAGTTACTTTAATATGTTACAATTATTACAAATACTATTTGCTAGCGTCATTTTTTAATAATACATCATTTACAAAAGAGTTCTCGCATTCTAACGACTATGTAAGATATTAACAGTTACAGATAAACTACAATTTAACAGATAGTTCGTGTAATCCTAATTATACTAATTACAGTGGGCAGATTCTGCAGAAATATTAAAAATGCCATTATTAAAAACAAAAATATACACGTGATTTAATTCGCAGGGTGCAATCTGAACTAGCATCCAACATAAACTATATACGATACCGATTGATTTAGTGATTGATACAATTATGTAATTAATACAATGCGCAGCGAGATACAGGCGCTTTCAGAAATTGTCACCTGTGTCTTGGATGTGAAGATAACAATACATTTATCAAAATATAAAATTTGTGTACGCACATCATAAATAATATTAATGCATAAACGTACTTTTGCATGTTGCAACTAAATTGAAAATAACTCGGCATGCAAAAGAAGTAATTGTGCCGGACATCAATTTTATTAATTTATTTCGTCCACACATATGGTATACCTCTCAGGCTTAACAGCTTAACAACCCTTAGCATGTTCTATTGCAACTTACTTTCTCACGTTGCTTTTGCTATTGCTGCATCCATCTATCTTCTCGTGCGCCTCAAGATGCTTTCTGGTATAAAACCGTGTACCACAGGTATTACATTTTAACTTGACGTTTGTACCGTGATACATCATGGTGTGATATTCTATGCCTACCCTATCGGAAAACTTTTTGCCACAAAAATGACATGCGTTATGCTTGTGCGCAGCCATGTGACGGCGGAAAGTTTTAAATTTCACGCATTTCAGGCATATAGTACAAGTCATTAAGTCATCAGCCCAGCTCGAGTGTACAGATTGCTTGTGATAGTAAAGATTCCTATTAGTTATATAAGCCTTCTTACATTTATGACAGGGAAAACCGTAGCCTAAATGATAAGCCTCGTGAAAGGCCTTTCCTGCAATGGAAATTTTTTTATTACAAAATCTACAACCCAGATCGTTGTGCTCCGAACGACAATGAGCTAATCGTGCTTTGTCGCTCGTGAACCGTTCGGGACAGTGGTAACAATGATGCATAGTATCGAAATGCTTGCTTCTCACGTGCTCGTCAAATTCATTATAGTTATTTATTAGTTCCTTACAAAAGAAACACGGCAATTGCAGCGAAAATTTATCGAATGATATTCCACGTGTAACAGTGCATTGATGATTATCGTATGCCTTAATCGTATCCAATTCTTCTCTACAATAGCCGCATTTGAAGGAATTAAATTGCGTCGTCTCGACCCTCGTTCTAATGTAGGTGTGATCCGACTCTACTCTGGAATAGTGATAACGTGATCGTAATTCCCGCTTGCTCCCTTGCATGTTTCTTTCCTCGCTATTTTCGTCGCAAGTTTCACGATCTTTAATCTGGCTTGTCTCCTTATTTTCCACGTTCTCGGATTTACACATCTCAAGAACATCGAGAACCTTTTGACACATTTGTTTCAACGTAGTGACTTTATTGTAAACTTTTTCGGTTTTGCCAGCTTTTACATCTTCGTTTTGTTGCCCCGACGAATCCTGTTTACCATCTTCTCGTGTCGCAATCACCTGCTTCGTTGTATCTTTATTGGGGAAAACTTGCACGTCATCTTCAACATCGATGATTACATCTTCGTCTGCATCTTCTAATTTCAGAATACTGTGGTCTTTACTGTATTTAGACTGTATATCTGATATATGTCGTGTAATGGACGTTTCAATAAAATCTTTGGTATTGTTAGATGTGCAAGATAAAGAATCTTTAGGATTCGAGGTTTCAGATATTTCCAGCTCATCATCTTTACCGACTATCTCATAGGAATCGTTTCGTTTCTTGATTGTTATGTTAATGCCGATACCAGAGTCTCTATCACTGCTTACCCTGCTTTGTGTTGTAGCATCTTCATATTGATATAATTCACAATTCTTTTTATGAATAAACAAGGTATGAGGATTCCGAAACGATCTTCCACATAAGCAAGTAGTTTCATTAATTTTCTTCATTCTTTCGTTGTACCGAGTTGCTCGCTGAAACGATGAATCGTGCCCTGGATCGTTTAATTGTAACGTGCTGTCTTCATTCACCTCACTGCTAGTGTTCTTTGCGACGTTATTACCTGACATCATGCGAGACCTTGCTTCGGCATACACCTTGAATTTCTTATTGAATGGCGAATTAAAATATCTACATTGGAATTTATGAAAGTTATCTCTAGTTTCCCCACGCCTGTAGTGAATGCGTTTGTGTTTGTACAAACTGTGCGTGGACGAATACATTCCCAAGCAAATGTTACACTTGTATGAACCAAACATTGACGCTTGTTTCGGTACGGTGGGAAGAGGAGTCTCAACAAGTGCATCGCATTCATTGCTCGACTTAAATTTCTTTCTGTCACTCGCATGGCGTGAGGTATAGCTGGTCTTTCTCTTGACTTGTTGAGACCTTCCGTGAATATTCTCTTCATTGTCCGTCGTACGACCCCTTCCTTGATGTGGCTCATCCGTAGTTCTCCCATCTTCAGACGCAGTCTCACTTAATAATGACGACTCCAGCTGTTTTACCACAGTCGAAGAGCCTCCGATTTTATGATAACTAATTAAATGTTTTCTCAAAGATGTTACTTTCTGTTGGCATAATGTACACTTGATCAACTGTGTCGTCGTAGTAGATGAAGTAGCTGGTGAAGCACTGGCAGGTTTTGTCTTCACAGTAGTCTCTTCAGAGGAATCTTTATTATTATGCAGTTGTTCGGAGCGGTTACCTTCTTTGCCGGGCGAAGTAGCCGTAGCGGCTTTAATTTTCCTCATGTGTCTCCAATGTTTACGCTTGATGAGTAAGGGAAGTACAACTCCGTGTACTCTCTCCGAATGCTTTCTCAAGGATCGTCTCTCCAAGTATTGGTTGCCACAAGTAATGCAAGGATACAGTTTCCTTGTCCTTTGGATAGAAAACTTGAAAGCCGATGTAGCCGCTGTGTTGTCGCTTCGCCTAAGTTGCATCCTGACGGGTGACGACAAAGACTGTTTAACTTCGTCCAAGCATTCCATTTCCTCCTCCTCCTTCGTCTCCTCTACATCCTTGTCGCAATCATCAGTTAGCGCTGTTGGCGTCTCAGTTTGTCCCTTTATCAATTGTAGTGTTTCCCAAATTTTATCGCATCTCTCCAACAGAACAATTGGGTCCTTTATCATAGGTATTGACACCGGAACGTTTAACGCAGACTCGTCCTACAATGAAAAATATATACCTTTTTAAATGCTATTTTAAATTGTATCATATATTTGACTAATTTTCCAACGTCATAATGTGAAATAAAAAGAAAACTAGAATAAAATTGTTGTGATCGTGCAATACAAGATCCAAAGGTATAACTAAAAAAATCAGCGATTGTAGTTTTTTTTATAGCAAAACCTTGATAATTATCACAGCAAATAGGCTCTCCTTGATCGAGGAACAACAAGTTAACGATAAGTAAACAACAACTAACAAATTGAAACGCAAAATGGTAATCGAGTCGTAACCTAACCCCAACGGGATCCTAAAAAGCGCGGTAAAATAATAGCTAATGGTCCTGGCGGTGTGTGCAGCGACATTTTCAGACGCCTCTTATCCCAAAGGTGTGCTGCCATGTGCTCTGTTAAAAATTTAAATACCGAGCGCCTCGGTGGTAAGCAACGCGATTGACGAACACAAAGCGAACTCGCCGACTCTCGCAACTTACAAACGGGTCCTCGTCGGCCTGGTGGGTCAGGTCACCGCTCGGCTCCAGTGGCTCCAATGGCTCCAATAGATCTAATGGCTCCGACTTGCACTGGAACTCGACGAGGCAGAACGGTATCGGTGTCGCCGCCTCATTCTTGTCCTCGCACTCGGTCGCGGTGTCGTCGGCCATCCTGGGACAGAGTGCGATCCACGAGAGATCAGACCGTGCCCGAATCCCCCTCTGAAACGTTGGTAATGCTGCTGCTGCTGCTGCTGCTGTCCGCCAACTGTTGTGCTCACTGTCGCTCTTGCTGAACCGATTGAGCGAATCTCGGGCTCGCGGCGTCTTTCTTCGACTCTACCGCATGTCTCTTTCTCTGCGCCACTCTACGACGATAGTCCCTCTCTTTTCGCCGCGCCACGACCCTTCACTGTTGTCCTTTCCTCGTGCTCGCGTCTTCTCCTATCCCCATTGGGCAGGAAGGGACGCGTCTGTGCTGAGCTCTTCAACCCGACTCAGGTCAACCGCTGTCGAATTGACGACAGGGCTGGACACGCGCTGCTGGCTCGACGGGCACCGATGCCCATTGCAACTGTTCGCTCCGTTCGCACTTTCGTCCGCCCTCTACGCTTTACGTAATATTAATTATAACTCTAGAGGGAGGACGAGGATAGAGATGGGACGCAGTGTAATTTAAACAAACGGACCTACCTGTTAATGATTGGCGGGATGTGTAATTAACACGATCGGCGAATTCAATCGATACTTCTTGGCGTGCAATAACACAATCGGAGACTAATCAGACAAAGGAGTCGCCAACAAATTTTCTCAGTCCCGCTCGTACAGCGATATCGATGAATAACGGCAGCCCGGTGCGTAATTAACAAGACTACTTTGGGCAGAAGCGTCAGCGAATTAACCCAAATGCTGGATAAATCCCATTTGTCCTCTTAAACGACCTTACCTTGTTTCACAGGTGATAACAATTTTTTTTCAACCATGTGCGTTTCTCCTGTGTTTGCTTGTACCTACAGGAACAAAAATTCCTAAAATCAATTGTCTTTCGCGAAAGAAAATTTTGGGTAAGACTGCGCTGTGGAATCGATAGAGTCAGCAGAATGGGGAGTTTTTCCTAAGCGCGCAATAATTCCCGCAATCTGAATCGAGACTGGATTGTGCAAAACCGTGATCGGTAAAAATTAACTAGTTAAGGCTGGTTTGTGCAAGGCCGCAACCGTTATGTCGGAATCGGTAAAAATTAGCCAATTGCAGTCAACGATTCTCTTCACTTTTAACGGTGATTGGACAATCTTTACCGATTCCGGCAGAAGTTAACAGTTACGACCTTGCATGAACCAGCCTATATACGCATTAAATATCCTACAGACGCCAAGTATCAAATCGGCATACGAACAATTGTGCGCGACGCGCATGGGTTTTCCAGATTTCTGTTCGGGGCGATTAACGTCGTATGTTATTAAGGCTGTTATCATTCATTAAAATCGTACGATGAGTCGACGTATTCTGTGTACCCCGAGTTCTCGTCGGCCGATGGTACGTTACAATTGCGCGATAATGTTGTTTCCAAACACCGGCCCGAGGTGAAAACGGCGTAGAAAAGAGACGCTGTGACGAAAGCCAATGAGGCTCAACAAAAATACAATCTCGTAACGCTATAATTCACACATTAGTAAGTGTAATTAGCATTTGCCAGTATTTACTAAGGTTTCCAACAGCCGAGAACCGTCTGCACCCGACTGGCTCAACCATTCATTAAGGGAAACAAGTCTTTCAATCAGACACCGCTCGATCTTTCGTGTTATTTATTCAACGGCAGACAATTGGAATTGATTTATCGGGAATTTGTACCAGGCGACTTGCTTGATGTTAAAATTAAGCTGGATCGATCGTTAAATTTTGCGCACAAATTATGCGAAATTAATTAGGATTGTCGTGAAAGGAAACCGAGGAAAAACACCCACATGGAATTGTATTACAAGGTAAACACGCCTTATTTCCAATTAATCGCCGTTGTTTGCCCCAAAGCGGTTCGATTGAGACAGAACCAAGGGGTATTGATCGGACTTGAGGACAGTCGTTCACAGGTTTCCTTACGTTCCCCGCCGGAGATATAGACGGGCAATGTCAATTTTAACATCCTCGAATTTCCGCGCAATATTGTTATGCGTTTCGCGATTAACAAACGTCCGGCAAACAAGAGGAATATAATTCCGCTACCGCCCACTTCTACGAATGCAGATCAACTCTGACCTCGGTTTAACCTACTTTTCATCTTTTCCCAGTTCTGGGAATTGTAAAAAGGTGGAAGCTTAGTCAAACGGGGATTAACATTGACTCGCATTGTTGGAGATGGGCGTGAGAAAATTTTATTGCAAAATATATAACGAAGCAGTGGGTCCTGGCGGTTACCGCTCCGTTACTGCGTGGCACTACGCGATTGGACGACTCGCAACACGAGAGCCCTGGGCGAGTCCAAGCTGGGAGATAAAGATATATCTCGTAGAACTTTCTCGACTCGTTCCAATTTTTTGTCGCCTTACGTATCCGCGTATGCCAGCACCGAGTCTCGCCCGAGTGGAGATTCTCATGCAACGCGACCTATCTCTGCCACGTAACATAACCCAACGCGCGCACATTATCGCCGGCCGCGTGCGTAATTTGGGACTCCTAAATCACGCGCAATACCCGTACAAATTCCATCCTACTCGATACATGGCTACGAAATGTTGATGCTTTACCTGTCGCAAGGGAACGTTCGTTCACTTGAGATCTAGAACAGCCACGATCGACTCCGTGTCGCCCGTTGTGCGCAACGTGGTCCGACCCCGCTACCCGATCCCGAGCGGACTGTCGCGTGGCGTCAGCGTCCGTTCTCTTTATCGCGAACTCATGCGCACAATATAAGATTCTTGGAAGACGAAGATGTTGCGCGTTGCGTTCGGCCGCGTCAGCGACCACTCGCAGGGTTGGGTGTCTTAAGGAGTACTAAGGAGTCTTAAGGCAGCGAAGGGACGACGGGAGAGACCGTGAGGTCACGAAATGACCGTCCAATTCTGGACGAGTCCACTTTTATGCGTGGCGCACGCGGCGAGCCAAAGCACGCTTTACTCGGGCCTACCTGCGATCAGCTTTTGTTCCTACGACAGTTGTAGCGGGTAGCGTGCTGCAAGGCCCAGTTACCACGAGAATCTCGGCGAGTTGGACGATGGCCTAGGGTTCAACGTCGAGCCACGGTTGGGAGAATCGCGTCTTCGCGCTCTGGGGCTCGATCGTGGATCTTTTTTCTCCAGCGTCAACTCGGGAGAAGCTCAAAATTTCATTAACGAATTCAATGTTTGTCAATGAAAATTTTCATTCGTTACGAGTTCACGTTTGAGGAAAGGATTCGCGATTGAGGGCCTGTTCTCTCGACGCCGAAAAGCGTATCAGCAGACGTTTACGAACAATGCCCATTTCTACCAAGGCAGACTAAAGCCAACGGCACACGGTACTATTTTTCCTACTGGATTGCTTACGAGAGCCAACCAGGATTTAGCTTCAAGTCACCTGATCTAAAACTCTGCATCCTGATTGGCTCTCGTAAGCAATCCAGTAGGAAAAATAGTACCGTGTGCCGTTGGCTTAACCTGATCTTGGTTCAACTTACCTTTCATCTTTTTCTAGTTTCAGGAATCGGGAAAAGATGAAAAGTTAACTTTGATCTTGGTTTCACTTATTTTTTATCTGCTAGTTTCAGGAATTGGAAACAGATAAAAAGTTAGTTTCGGGATTAAAGTTAATCGGCTTTGGTAGAAACGGGCATAAGCAGCCCGCAGCACTAGCGTCGCCGACATTAGGGTTGATCGCGCAAGGTCTGCCGACTCGTTACTTCCAGCAACCAGTAGGTCACCCGATTCCCGTATTGGATCGAATAATAACAAGAATAAAGCCTTATTGTCGCCAGGAAATAATTGACCAATATAGGAAATGCGCTGATGATCGACACGACTGGCAAATTCTAATTAAAGAGATTCATTGCGAAAAATATTACCTCAGCCAGGGTTTGAACCTAGACCTCCCTCTCACTAGGCGGGAGTCTTATTATGTTCCGCCGAACGTGTCTTCGCTTCCCACCTGGGAGTGCGTTTCTTCCTCGAGGCGAGTGATTCACCACGAGCGTTTCTAGACTACCCCAAGCCATACCCGAGTCCAAAGCCTGCGTTCAAATTCGTAGTACGAGAGCTGTAATGCGGTTGATGTTATAAAAAATTCTATCCACGCTCTTATTCTGCGAAGCGTCGGCCACGGCTCGATCGTGAATCATTTCTTCCAGCGTGAGCTCGTGAAAGGCGAAAAATTGTATTGACCAATATTGAAGTCGTCAACGAAATTTTTTCATGAACCCCTCTGGTCCAAACTTGCCCCTGTCGGAGCGATCTCTCGTTCGCGCTGACAAGAGCACGAAGAGGTATATTGAATAAACGACACGATGAAACAAAGTCAGGTCTCTCTGACGTTAGAAGCGCGGACAGAAGCGTAGCAACAGGTATAGAGAACCGTGCAGACCCGCGAATTAACGGCGCGCAAACGGGCAATCAATTGATAGCCCGTTTTAGGCCCACGTGAGTAATCGCGGATAAGCGTATGTAATTTGCGGTCATACGTAACGCGGGTACAGTAGCGTGATGCCGCGGCCCCGAGGTTCGCGGAACTCCATCGCGACCGTACCTGGGATGGGCGCCCACCGTTGTAAGTTACACGTCGACGAGAATGACGGCGGTCAACCGATCGTCCGAGAGATCGGGATCGGGACGGATGCGACAATGCTGATGCCTTGTTTACATTAGCGAGCGCGCACCGCGCGGCCTGATTCCCCGATAAAATTGTGGCACTAACGAGATGGTCGTGCCACGCATTTCCGCCGGAGGACGGATATAAAATCGCGTGCGCCTGCACACTCGCACGCAGAGCGGTGCTGTTTGTCCGGTCGGGAAAATGCGGCTCCCAGGTGTCTTGCTGCTGCTGCTCCTCACCTGCCAGCTCGCCACGCCGACGCCGATTTTCGACAGAGGTGGTGTACACTGTAGTTGTTGACAAGTGCTAAATGAACTTGCAGCACAGAGGGGACTCGAGTACAGGATCGATATTACGGTAGAATTTAATGTACCTGGGTTTCACGGGCTCGCGCGACACGTTGCTCCGAATTCGTCGGAGGAAAAGGGTGCAATTACGCGGTTGTCCAGTTTCGCGCGAAATGGAATGTAAATCTAGTGCGTCCAAGTTGTTTCAGATTCTTTGCAAATCGGGTGAACAACTTCAAGCGAAAGTGGATACGGGTGGCGATTGTAATAATCAATAAGTACATCTGTGATTGAACGTTCAGATTCCTGAGTTACGCCAATTTTTACAAAATTATGTAAATTGAAGAAGTTAACAAGGTTGTAGTGAAACCGTGCTGTTCGATTGCGCTGTCTAATGATTCACTCTGCTAGGAACCTTGTAAATTTTTAACAATTCACTCGAACGTCGTAGATGGAAGAGGTTCTCATGGCCGATCAGCTGGATTCGGGGAGTCAATACGAGATTGGTTCAAAGTACTCAAGGACCGAATCGTGGGCAAGTGGAAAGAGTGGTTCGGCGACGACGGTCCAACCCCGAGTTTATCACCGCAGGACTTTTTGAACATCGACAAGAGCATAGGGGGTCGAATACCGGGTTATCCAGGATTGTTCATAGATTTGTGTAAGCAAAGCTCAATAATATGAAACACGGAGGCCAGTATTCGTCAGCTTTCCTCCTCGATTCTTCGTCGTAAAGCTGGAACACGCGCTGCGCTTGGATCGTTAAATCATGCGTTTACGCTTCGCTACGGGACATAATTGACCATTTCGTGATTTCGACATTTTACGCGATGCGTCACCCGCGAATGTCGTTGTACAAGAGGTGTAATTAGCACTACGTGCAGTACAATGTCGCGTACGTCTTTCGGAGACTTCCGCGATCGCGTCCTCCCAAGCGACTACCAGATTTAACTTGTCTATTTTGTTAATTTTTTTTTTCTATGACGATAGCCAATCTATCCTTTGACGAAAAACGAGATTGGGGCGTCCGGATTGGTAAATGGTACATCATCCGGAAAGTTACAGAAAGTGACTACGACGGCGATTCGGACGACTGGGACATGAGACCCCTGCTACCGGGTCTGCCCTCCCTACCACCCATATTCGGGAACGGTTGGACGCCCGACTTCCGCAAGTTCGGACCTCCCCCGACTACGCAATCCCCAACGACCACGCCGAGGATTGAACCGACTACAGCGAGACGACAGACGACCCAAACTGTTGCTACTACGCAATCCCCAACGACTACGCCGAGGATTGAGCCGACTACTTCGAGACAACAGACGATCCAAACTACGACGCAATCAGCCTCGACTCCTACCGAACCGGTCGCAACCACCGTCGGGGCAACTACCGCAACTTTTACCGACTCGACTCCACTTACTACCCAGATGACTACTACTTCCGATGTGGTAGAGCCGAGTGCGATGTCGAGCGAAGAGGTTCTGACTTCCCGTGAATCTGTTGTGACGAACAGTGGACCGGTTGTACCTAACGAATCTACGTTAGCAACATTCACCGAGTCTACTGTGATTCCCGTCGAATCGACATCATCAACTGAGCCGACCTTGACTTCTGAAACGATCGAAACATCTATCGAATCTACGGTAATCACTACCGAGGCAATCGTGACTTCCACTGATGAATTAACTACTAATACTGCTACTAATATTGAATCACTCGAGTCCAACGAACTAGATTTACCTAGCTTCAACAAGCGAGTAGAAGAGAACGAGACCTTCGAAAGACGTACCACGAAGAAGCCTCGCCCAGCATCTGCCGAAGTCATCATGTTTTAAAAAGAAGTTGCATATTAGCCGAAAATTCAGGCGTATGTCTTGATTCATCTTCCTAATAAAATCTTAAAGTACATCTCGATTGTAAATATACGTTTATTAGATTCGAAAAATATTAATAAGCTGAAATTAGATCAAATAAATCGGCAAAGAATAATTGAAAATTTATTTGCATGTTTTAATACATTTCTATAAACATACTTAGTAAAAGGTAATACTGAAAATTTCGTAAAAAAATAGTCATTCTATGTGGATAACTTGAAATTTGGAACGGAATCTTGTGAAATAATAGCGCATCGACCAAGTACAATGTAATTTTTTTAACGAGGACCGTCACGAGATGTCAAGAGAAATACGACAAACGCGTTTTCATCAAGAAGAATACGTTTATTCCGTAAAATTTATTATAATTACAGCGCTAGTCCATAGTAAAATATAATAACTTTTACGTCGATGACCGTGGTCTTCAAGATGGCTTCTTTTACTGTAATAAAGAAAAAGAAATTTTGTGGATATATTAAAAATGATACTTCTTTCCTTACTTAAAATCAACTGCTTAGCATGCACATAACAAATTGTTATAGAAACACGATAGCACATACACAAACACGTATTTGGAATTAATAAAAGCATCATCTCTTTCAAGCTTATCGAGTATAAAAAGTATATGCACTGATGATAATTTCGATGTAATTTTACACTCAAATATTTTCAAAATTACTTAGACGTTAGCAATTTTCGTGCACATCCATTGTTACGCTGAATTTTACACAGAATGCATATGTAACACAGAATAAATTCTAAAATAAAATAAAATTGTTTGTTACTTTGTTAATGTACTTGTAATTCATTGAAACTATAACTTTTAGAGAACAAAAGTTAACAGAAAACAATACTTCATTTCGTTCCTTTGCGTTTTAAGGATCTGCATTTAATTACTGGTTTGACGAAATATGAGTGCTACAGCAAAAGCTCAATTTCAATTCCAATTGCAGTGATGTTAAGCCCGTATCAGACTAGTAAATTTTACTCTGATTGTTCAAATTTCAATCTAATCTCAATCTCAACCCGTAGTCTGATACGGGCTTTAGACGACACGTTTTAGTAGTAGGCTTAGGGCCTGAGCAGAATGGTTGTCTTGTACTCTTAAGACATAAGACAGTTACTGTGCGTTACCTCAAGACAAAGGTTTAAAACGTAAAACATTGTCTTAAGAATATAAGACAGCCATTCTGCTCAGGTCCTTGGAGTTAAATTACTAAAATGCAAATACAAGTAAGTCCTGTACTTGATTGTGGATTTTCTAAATCTACACAATACTCTATGTCGTCAAGAACGCTTATTACATAATATGGAAAAATAATAAGTCCGCATTCTTTTATCAATAAAAGCTCCTTTAAAGTGGCTGCTAAGCCTTCTGATTGGCTACAGGCCACTTTTATCGATAACAGAAGATTCAGAATACGGACCGTTGCCTACGTGTAAGATTATTACATTTTTATATTATGTAAATGAATTAGACGTTTATTTTACTACGTATTGAGATATTAGAATTGTGATTAGTAATGTAATAAATAAACGATAAACATAGTAATATTCCGTTACATAGAAGTGTTAAAAAATTAGTAGCATGCTCATACAATGAACGAGGAACCAAAGTATGAAACTTAAAGATTTGCATGCTGACCCTGATTAAGCAACAAGCTATTGCTCCTCCAGAAGTCTGTAGTGCAAATGATGATCATTTCCTTCCCTAGAATGTGAATAAGAAGCGTATACCACTGTAGCATGCATAATAGATATCAGACCAAAGAAAAATTTATTTCTGTCAATTGTCCATGAACATTATGCTATGCTATCGATAAGAAAGATTTTACCATTTTTTTTATTTCTGTCATTATTCTCTCACACATTGTATCATGAGGAGTACGACAAGTTTGAACTAATCGAATTTAAACAATTTACTAAATAAGTTTTTCTAAGACAATGTATGAATATTTATTATGTATCACTATTTACAGTTATCCGTCTAACAATATTAGAAATTTATTTCGATATAAAATCTGAAATTTTCTTGAAAAAAATAGCACTTTAGAATATAATAAAATATTTAAATAAAAACCGGGAGAAAAGGTTTTCATGTCATGTAGAGCATGTAATGTAAGCTGATTATAATTTTAATATAAGAAATTTAAGCCACAGCGCCCATAATAAAAAAAAAGGAAACATTGTTTCAACATGCACGAAATATTTTATATCGAGAAGCATTCAGTGACGAGAAAGAAGAGAGGAAAATTGTTTACAATGTTACAGAATTAACGTTTCAACGATAGAGCGAGAAATATGTTTATGTAAGTCGAATATCTGACATTATGTTGCTTACCTTTTTAGACGCCGCTCCAACTTTACTTTTCTTCGTACCCCTAACTTTCTTCATTCTGTTTTTGCGTTCCTTACGCTGCTTCCTGGTTTGCTTTTGCTTCTCGAAGAGACCGTGTCTCGCTAACCTGTACTTGGGCTCGAATTTTTTGGCAAAGTCCAAGGTGTCGTAGATGAGTGCAAACCCGGTGGACTTGCCGCCGCCGAAGTTGGTTTGGAAGCCAAACACAAAGACAACGTCCGGGGTCACTTTGTACATCTTGGCTAGTTTCTCGCGTATCTCAGTCTTACGAACTGATGGCTGGCCAGGATGGATTACATCTACGACCTAGGAAACAAACGTGCGTACAAATCCATGTTGACAATAATCGGCTAACAGATGTAGATACTCGGAAGTAGATACTCGCGCACTCACCATTTGTTTTCGGCATAGGAGCCGATTGGTCATGAACTTTCTCGTTCTGATGGTAGCTGTACCTTCCGTCTATAAGAATTGAAATATCTTTATCAGCCTAGGTTATTTTATTAGAGATCTAAGGCCTAGTTTCACCAACGTCGTTTAACTTTAAACTTAGCTTCATTCTTTCTCTTTTTAACGGTTGTTTTCGAAAGAGACAAACGTGAATTAAGCCAAGATTGAAGTTGAACGTTTGGTGAGACCGGGCCTAAATGTAGTGGAGTGGAGTGGAGCAAGAGTGGAGTGGGAAACGATGCTATTCTACTGACGAAGATAGATAAAGCGATGAGGAAATTCCGGCTAATAGCTTTTGTCTCACAAAGTGTCACGCTTAATTACAAACATGCAGTCACACGTGAGGTTATGTCACGTCGCGTTCAACGATAAGTTTTTGCAGTCGATATCTCCCGAGCGTGATATACGCGACACGCACTTTATCAGATACCATTGTTGAGAGTTTAATCGAGCGGCGCGTGTTTTATTCAACGATTACTGCGGAATCTCTCGATACAAGTTACATACCATTTTGATCGGTTAGCGTACCGCTTAGAAAGAGACACGCACGGAAACGTGTGCCGCCATCTAAAGTTCGCACGCGGCCGCATTCTTCTGTATAGTACTGGAGTCTGTTCTTTCTAGCTGAACTATCTGCACCAGTTCAGCTAAAAAGAACAGACTGCTAGACTGCTACCTTCGAGTTGAAAAGTGAGATAGGATTAATTATTACATTTATAATAATTAATTACAAACATATAATATTACATTTGTCGTGCGACAAATTTTTCAAGCGTGTCGTTTGGTTGCAGAATAGATAATTTCTGGAGACTCGAGAACTTTTCTATTCCGCAACCAATCAGTGGCTGTGTTCAACAGAAGTTAGAGCTTAATAAGCGCTTTATGCTGATTGGATAGATCTAGAAGAATAGCTCTATTTCAGCACAGATTTGAAAGTATAATCCAATGAGCGCAAAGCGCTTAGCAAGCGTTAACTTCTGCTGGACACAGTCAATACGCTTAAAAAATTTGTCGTACGACAAATGTAATATCAGCCTTAGGCCCGTATCAGACAACGGATTAAGATTGAGATTAGATTGAAATTTGACCAATCAGAGTAAAGTTTACCAATCTCAAGTTTAGTAACTTTTACTCTAATTGGTCAAATTTCAATCTAGCCTCAATCTCAATCTATAGTCTGATACGGGCTTTACGCTCTGTATTGTCGGTGAAAATCGGTTAAAAAATCTACGTTTAATTTCCAAGCCGTCATTGGGTTGAAACAATTTGAGATACTAAATCTCGCATCGAAATTAACAACAGAGTTACAGGCTGGTATTCATAGTCGATTCTTATTTCAAAATTATCTTAAGCGTTGCCTCAAGATGCTAATACGGCTTTGTGATTGGTTGAAAACACATTAAGAGTATACTTAAGATAATTTTAAATATAAGAACGGACTATGAATACCGGCCATAGGCCCGTATCCTGCGCTGCTTTCGCGAGAAGATCACAATGGCCGCGTTCAGCAGACACAACTGTTGAGTGAGCGCTCAGTATGATTGG